CCCCTGCTGCTCCTGCATGGCTTTGCTCCAGGTCGTCATCGTCATTGCCAGCTCTGTCCTGGATGCCAGGGGGGTCTTTATGGGGCTGCCGAGGCACCAGCCCCTCACCCTGTTACTTGGTGATACCAAACTGACAGGACGGCAGTGAGCGAAGCTGCCGAGTTGGCTGGTTGCAGCAGGCACCTTCTCCTCTCTGTGGTTGGCAAAGTGCTAACCGTTGGTTGGACCAACCCATCCAGAAACTGGTCCATATTTGTTGTCCTTAGTGAAGAAGTTGGTCTTGTTGGGTGCCTGGAGCAGGGTATGGGCATGGGGCAGCCCACAGGTGGGATCAGAAGACCTGCTGGTTGAGATGTGGCTATGGCAGCCCACCATGGGTCACCATGGATGCCAAAGTTGCAAGGAACTGAGTCTGCTGAGGGCAACCCTGTTGCAACTGCTGCAGGTGGAGGAGCTGCTTCTGGAGGATAGTGGGTTCCCATTCCTTGGGGCTTATCACACTTCATGTGGGACTTGCACCTGTAGCAGAACTTTGTACAACTGATGTCTTGGTGCTTGGAGTCATCCATCCACTCAGACATCCGTGAGTATCTGCTAGGTCATCATACCTTGATGGCCAGAAGAAACCAAGGTGACCTCCTGCCCCGTGTGTGCTCCTGCAACATGTGTTTCTCTAGCTCCTAGCCCACCCAGGATGGGAAAGGCTGCAAATGGTGCAAAATCTGCATCTCTTGGCAATTACTCTTCAGGGGCGACTGTCTTCCCTGGTAAAATTGAATCTTGTTTTAGAATCATAGAATCATAGAATCCCAGACTGGTTTGGGTTGGAAGGAACCTTAAAGCTCATCCAGTCCCAACCCCCCTGCCATCAGCAGGGACACCTTCCACTAGCCCAGGTTGCTCAAAGCCTCATCCAGCCTGGCCTTCAACACTTCCAAGGAGGAGCAGCCACAGCTTCTCTGGCCAACCTGGGACACTGTCTCACCACCCTCACACCAAAGAATTTCTTCCTCACATCTCAGCTCCATCTCCCCTCTGCCACTTTCAAGCCATCACCCCTTGTTCTCTCACTCCCTGCCCCTGTCCAAAGTCCCTCCCCAGCCTTCCTGGAGCCCCTTCAGGTACTGGGAGGCCACTAGAAGTTCTCCCTGGAGCCTTCTCTTCTCCAGGCTGAACAGCCCCAACTCTCTCAGCCTGTCCTCACAGCAGAGCTGCTCTAGCCCTCGCATCATCCTCGTGGCCCTCCTTTTCCATATGTCTTTCTGGGTTCAATTCCCAGGCAAAGCCGTAGCTGCAATTTCCCTCATGGGCTAAGGAGCTCTGTTTGCTGCTACTTTCTCCTGGTGTAGATCCTTGCAAAACACAATCAATCATCTTGCCAACTCCACTTTGATGAACTTCTGCAGTCCCCCTGCAGCAATAAAAACCCATCCAGCTGAAGGAAAAATAGACCCCAGGGGATCTCAGCCTTTCTGTTGCACAGCTGAGGTGGGTGGTAAGGCCTTGTCTTGTCAGTGTTGGGTTAATGATTGAACTCGATGATCTTAAAAGTCTTTTCCAATCCAGGCAATTCTGGGATTCTCTCTTGCTTCTTAAACCTTCTTGGTTTATTGGTTGCTAGTTTGGAGTCCATTCCAGCACTTTCAGCATGGGATATTAGATCAGGGCTTAGGGGGCCTTCCTCCCACCATGCTCTGCCTCCTGTGGTGGATATCTAAGGATGTCTGAGCCTAGGAGAAAGGCAAAGAGAAGCCCCTGGAGACTGGTTCATTGGACATAGCTCTGGATTTTGTCTGCTGGAGAAATGAATTAATATACTTCCTTTCTTTGGAAGTAAGAAACTTCTCAGGGGTGAGACAGGGATCTTCCCTGGAGGACAACGTGTCCTTCTCGACCTCAGGTGGAAGGTGAGGGGTGCTCCTAGCCAGTTATAATGACATGATAACTCTGTGATAGGCCATTATTTGGGCAATAAGGTGTTTTGAAGTCAGCTGTCAATGGATGATGGAGCAAACCCATCACCACCACCACCACTGAAACCCATCCTGGCTCGACATCCACTTTTACAGTCAGTGCTGCTGACCAGGTTTGTTCTGATTCATGGAGACCAGTTATTCACAATTTTCCATAATTCAGGCAACTACTGCTAAATGCTAACAGACAAACCCATCTCCAAATGGACTTCAGATGGGGCAGCAATTGGGTAGAAAAGCTGTGGGAAAAGGGACACAAAGGGACGTTACAGCTGTGTTCGAAGGGGACCACAGTCTGGGGCTCCACCCTCTACAAAGAAGGTGGGCAAACAGGAACCTCAAAGAAAGGAACCTGTTTTAGGGCGGAAGAATAAAGAAACTCAGCTCATTTAGTTTTCTTGGAGTTCTTTGCCACCCTGAAGCACCAGAAGAAGGAAAGGAGGTTTGGAATAGCGGAGCCTTTGTACAAGTCAAAGGAAATCTAGCTGGCAGCTGAACAGTGTAAATCCAGACTAAAATTAATGGAAGACCTTTTTTTACAAGAAGATAATTGACCATTGGAAAAACCAGCTTCAAACCTGCAAATTTCTCTGCCTCCTTGTCTTGTGTCAAAACGAGATGTCCTTGGGCCAGCTGAGGTAGATGCAGAGCTCCAAGGAGATGTGCAGTTCTTCAGCTGAGGAGAAGGGACAGTGGCGAGGGCTGTGGGCACTGTGCTCTCCAGTAATGCACACTGGGCACAGCATTTCCATCGCACTGAATTTTCATTAAATAAAAAGCTTTTTAAAATGTAAAATGCTTCAAAATATTATTTTTATCTGGGGAATTATTTATGCTGGTTTAGAGTAGATCTTTTACATAGTCACTGCTATTAATATACTGACTATGCACCACTGGCATTGATAGTTACAGATTTAAGGGTTTTTTTAAAGTAATGCAGCTTCTAGGTAGCACTGGGGGAAAAATGTTTTCCGGTTAGATCAAAGTGCCACTGGTGTTTTAATGAAAAAGCCAGATACTCTGATAAAATAAACACTATTATTGAACTATGTAAACAAATATTCAGTTTAAAAAGAAATTTCATAAATCTGAATGAGAACATTTCAGGACTAGCTGTTTTCCAGAACTCTTCCTAAGTGGGAAAATTTGAAAAGGACTATTTTTGCTTTTTACTCTTGGAATAAAACCAAATTTTTGAAATCCTGGTTTCCTGTGAACTGGAAACCACTGGCTCTAACCAGGAGTAACGAACAACCCGCGGTCTGAAAATGATTTACTGCCAGAAGTAGGTGCAAGGAGCGTATCTGCACTGAGGCGCTTTTTGGCTTGCTGATGGGAAAATGGGAGTTCACGTGCACTGCTGGACAGGCTGAACCACAGCCATGTCTGCATCCAGGCTTGTCTCTGAAATGATGAGTCTACTCAAGGCTGAGCTTTTCTTCCTTTGTTTTTGTTCAGTGTAGTGAAAGTGGAGAAGGTGGAGGTGATTTTTGTGGATTTGTGGCAGGATGCTTGGCTTTTTGATGGTGAGGAGCAGCAACAGGACATGGTTACAGCCAATAACTCTCCATCCCTGTTGTGGCCATGGGAATTGGCACCATTTGTTGGGTTATAGGAAGATGGCTGGAGATCTCCACTGTATTGGGGTTCTCCCGGTTGATCGCTCTCAGTGAGCTGCCATGGGGTAGGTGTACACCTTGTACATAAGATGCTTTTTCTTGAGAGCTACAGAGCCCTAAAGCTGGACTATTTCCCCACCGTTAACTGTGAGGGCAGGGAAAGTGAAACTGCAAGCTGAATTTCGTGTTTGTGTCGTGTGTGTCTGTGAGAGAAATGCTGCTCAATGGTCCTGCAAATGCAGTTGGCATTCTGAGTGCACGTGCTGCAATCGGGCAGATTCACCCTCTCCCTGCAGAGCAGAGGGATGTAATTCCTTCTGTGGACATCACCTTGGTCTCAGCCACAGAATCGCTGGCCGTATGCTGACCTGTACAGTCTGTCCCACAAGCATCACGCTTTTCTCGTGCCCAGCCTCAGCGTGCTGAAACCTTTGGGTGTGATTTCTAAACTCCATTTCCTAAACGCTGGAATATTGTTCTGTTTTCTTAAAACATCAGCACTGGGTGTGGTGCAGAAAAGTACCTGTGTTGCAACGAGCATGCGACTGCAGACCTGGAGGATGGACAGTTAACCAGATTGTGGTAACCCCTCATAGTTGTGGTAACCCCTCATGGAAGGGTCTGTCCAGTTATTTCTGATGGGGCTGTCTGGCCTGTTCCTGTGCTGTCTGGGGAACACGTTCACATGTTAGCCCAGGTATTGGGGTGTCATAACTTGAGCATCCCTTCAGATGCCATCAGTGTAGTTAGGCCAACCTATAGCTATGTGGGATGAAAAAAACTTTAGTCCTGGAAGTGTGATGAACTGTGGGAAGGACAAGGAGATGTTGCTGCCTGCGTGGCTTAGGGAGACTTCTCCTCTGTGCTGGTTGGCGGTAGCATCGCCTGACCTATTTCAACCCAAATCGCCTGGAAAACCAGCTTTAACATTGGTTGAATTTTTTAGTACTTTTAAGTCCTAAAAGTGCTGTTCCTTCCCCTGTGCTACTGCGCTGCCCAGGATTCTGCCTACCATGCAAAATGCGGTGAAAAACATATCTCGCTTTTGCAAAAGAAACTGGAAGGTGATGGAGGAATCCTCCTCAGGCTGGGCTCCTCATCTGCAGCAGCAGAGCTACTCCAGGGCTGTGGTACCCTGATTCTGGATTTTGAGGAGGAAACTGCAGCTGGGCTGGTGGGTGGAAGAGCACGTGCCCCCATGCATTGCACAAAACAAGGGGACCTGGAAGCAATGGGCAGTGGATGGGACAGCAAGTGGGTCGAGGGACTGATGCTGGGCTTCTCCCCATCTGAGAGCTCGGTGCAGGCTGGGCTCAGTGGGTGCAGTCTTGGTTTGGCTCCTCTCCACCTCTTTCCCCTTCACCAGCCTCTGGCCATTCACCTGATGGCCACTGACTCCTTGTTTCACCTTCTTCCTGCAGAGACACTGATGGACTCCACAACAGCAACGGCAGAGCTGGGCTGGACAGTGCATCCTCCTTCAGGGGTAAGTTATCCTGTCGCTGTATGGGGGCCCAGAACCTGGCCTAGGGTCTCCTGCTGCACATGATCATAGGTAGGATGGCTCAACAGAAGTCATTCATTGAAGCAGAGTGCCTTGGCCATGTGAAAAGGTCTAATGGGAACAGCACAAAAGAGGATGACAATTGAGGATTCCAGTTTTCTAGGAGATGAAGCTTCCAAAAACTACCCTACTGCTGAGAGCATGTAATTCTTCCCCTACAGTGTCAGGTCAACCAGGAATCATGCTCTCTGTAAGGCTGGCTTGCAGACAGTTAAAGATCACAGAGAAGGAGAAACAAAATGCCAAGGCCACTGTCATTTGTCCCCAGTAGCTCTCTTGTTATCCCAATGCCTGTCACTTACAGCAGAAAAGGATGACGACATTGGCCTGCAAGGCTGCACCCACAGCAAGCCCCAGAATGACTGTCCAGCATCTCTGGTATCTCATGGAGGGACATTTGCTGGCTCAGCAGTGACTGTCTCTCTGCTTTATTGGTGCCAAGCATCCCCTGAGCTGTATCCCAAGACCAGCCAGAACGAGATCTTTTAAAGAAGAGCTTGGACAAGGCAGTGCATCTCTGCACCCTTCCACTCATGACACGAAACCGGACTGACCCCAGCCACTTCCACGTCCCACGGGGTTTGCATGGGGCATCGAGGTGGTCTAGTGCATCCCACCCTGCTTTGGCTGCGGTGGCTGGCAGCAGCGTGGATCCCCAGTGCCCGACACTCCCAACCTGCTCCCTCTGGCTCAGGTGCCCCAATCCAGCCCATCCAAAAGCTGGAGATGTTTCCCATCTCTGTGCACGGAGGTGGTAGTTCAGGCTTCATCCTGCCCTCCATCCACCCTCGCAGGGGCTGGATGAAGACGTTTCTGTGGACCTCACCCCGGGGCTGACAGCAAACCCCCTCCCTGAGCCGACTTGGCAGAACTAAAGAAATGGCCAAGAAAAGCCTCCGTCAGGGAGATTAAACCCGGCTCCCGAGCAGTCTGGCCGGGCTGGGGCTCAGGCTCTGCCGGCACTGGTCCCCCATCACCATGATAAAGCCCCGCGCCCGCCTGCGAGCCCGACCGCCCCGCCAGCGCCAGCCCAGCCGCCGAAGGGGGATGACGGGCACACAATAGGCGGGAGCAGAGGTCAAGTCTTTTTCTCTCCTCGCCCAGCCTTTCTTGTTTGCCATGTTTCCATATGTAAAGCACGCCTTGCTCCCGGCTCCCCAGCCCGGCGGTAATGAGGCCTGGGCCTGCTGGAAGCCGTCTCCCCATATTATTGTGCTGCCTTCTTCTTTTGAGCTCCCGGCATGTTAATTAGCGAGCGAGGAGAAAGGGAGAGGCTTCTAATTAAGCGTCGAGGAAGCACAGGAGCTGGTGCACGGGGATGACTTTCTCTCCCAGCTAAGAAAAGGGAGCTTGGGAGCCCCCCACTCACTGCCACAGGGATGCGGGAGGATGCTGGGGGTCCTGAGCCTGGTCCCCAGGGTGCTCCCAGGTCCCTTATCCCCAGCAGGATGGAGATGCTGGTCTGGAATTTCCAATGCAGCCCCAACATTGCTGGAGGGAGTTGCCTTCTGTTCCCACCTCTGGGCAGGTCCCTGGGGGAGATGTGGTGACATCATGCCCTGCACCGTTGTCCTGGTTTTGCTGGGATAGAGTTAAGGGTGAAACCACCACAGCTGTGCACACCACAGGTGCTGACTCTGTGGCACCTTCATGGCTTCTCCCAGTGCGATCTTGTGCTCACTGGAAGGGCAAGTCAGGGCATCCTACCCATGGGTGTCTTGGCTTAAGCAAGGTCAGATGCAGCCAGCATCACTTGGAAGACAAAAGCTGCTGGTTGCTCCACCCATTTATTGCCTCTTTGGTGATTATTAGAGATCCAAAAGCCCAAACAGTTGCTTTTTCCCCATCTGTGGAACTCTCATGCTGCTCATAGGTCTCTTTTTAACCGACTACCACTGTCCACTGTTCATCCTCAAGCTGAAGAAAGTTTCTTTCCACCTGCTTCTGCCTGGCCAGGGCTGAGCTCTTCAGGCTCATGTCCTGAGCCCTCCCTCTGGGCCATGCAGGTCTGGATGGGGACAGGCAGGCACTGGGCATCCCTGGGTCTTGGTGGCTGAGGCACTGCTGTGGAGTGTGTGTCAGGAGTGGTTCAGGTGAGGGAGAACCAAATCAGAGGCAGGGCAGGGGAAGCAATTGCTTCTCTGTGCCTTGTCCTTGATTTCTTCACCCGCCCCGCTCCCAACTGGCACTCTAAAAACCAGGGAGATCCTGCAGTTTTCCACTAGCACACCAAAATTATTTCAGGAAAATAAAGCAAACGCTCCCTCTGCATTTTGTGAGGATGCTCTCCTCCTTCCCCAGTGATGGGCAGCAGGTTTGCCTCCACTGCCAGTCAGAAGTGGTTGGAGCTTCTTTGGGCATCTTCCCTGACAGCTTTCTGTTGGGCTGTTAGCCTCGATGTGTGAGGAGCAATCTGCCTCCCATCTCGTGAGCCTCCCTCTGCAGTCCTGGATAGCCTTGTGAGGGGGCTGGGGTCCCCTGTGGACCTCAGTCCTGGCTCTGGTGCTGGATCGGGGCACTACTGCCCCCCTACCCTGGGTGTCCTGATCCTGCATCCACAGCAGGGCTGTGCTCAGGGTTTCCCATCTGTGGGAAACAGCTCAGCTTCCACTTGAGCAGGTTTATAAACTAACTCATGAGAAGCCTTTCCAGCTGGCTGGGACTGTGTCACATGCTGGACCCCAGTCCCTACCGCCAGCATCACGAGGTGGGGAGGGGTCAGCATGGGAAAGTGCTCTGCCCTCCAGAAAGGTCTGGGCTGGGGGAGATGCTGTGATGAGCCTGGTGAAAGGTTCTCCTCCCATAAGGACCCTTTGCCATGTGTGCTTACCGCAGAGGAGTGGTGGCTGGTTATGGGCTGCAGCTCTGCCCTTGCCTGGCGCATCACCTGCCCTGAAGTCTCCCCATCCTACAAAGGATGGTATCATAGAATCATAGAGTATTGTGAGTTGGAAGGACCCACAAGGATCATCCAGTCCAACTCCTGTCCCTGCACAGGACAATCCCAACATTCACACCATGTCCCTCAGGGCCTTGGCCAAATGCTGCTGGAATCTTGTCAGGCTTGGTGCCATCAGCACCTCCCTGGGGAGCCTGTTCCAGTGCTCCACCACCCTCTGCCTCAAGAACCTTTTCCTCATGGCCAACCTCACCCTCCCCTGCCACATCTTCTTGCCATTTCCTCTGCTCCTGGCATTCGTTGGTGGCCAGAGAGAAGAGATCAGGAGACAAAAATGAGCACTGAGTGATTTGGAAAAAAAACAGCCTGGGGAAAGGGCAGGGAGCTGGACAGGGCCAGGAGGTATCATAGCAGCCCTGAGCTCTGCAGAGGCTCCTCCAGAGCTGACAGTTGGCTATTAGTTGTCCGGGGGGCGCTGTGATGAGCTTCCATGGGGAAATATGTCAGCTCCAAGCTGTCTTGCTGAGAAGGATGTTACTGTCAGGCTGCAGCTCATAGGACATTCCACAGGTCCAACTGAGGACAGCTGGGACGGGGTCCTGTGCAATTCTGCAGGAGGAACCCCAAAGCATGTTGACCCTTGAAGGGGCAGGTATGAGGGAAAACAGCAGGATCTAACCCTTCATCTCCCTCTGTGGGTGTGCAGCAGGGTATGATAGTTTCACTGGGCTGGCCCTTGGTGAGCAGCCACCACAGCCCTTCACCCACTTCTCCCCCACCCCCAGGCGATAGGGAAGAGAAATGGGGGCAAAGGTAAGGAGACTCATAGGGTGAGAGAAGAACCATTTAATAAGAGAAATTAAAGAAAACTTAAAATAATACTGATATTAAAATAATAATGATCATCATCATAATAAAATATTCAAATGAGTGATGCCCAGTGCCATTGCTCACCATCCGCCGACCAAGCCCGGCCCGTTCCCAGATCACGATCCCAGAGGAGCCACAATCCCGACCCGAAACCGCAATCCCGGGAGAGCCAGAGCCCGAGCCAAAGCCAGAGAGAGCAAGAGAGGAAGAGCCCCTCATGGATCTCCTGCCCATGGGGGACAGGAGATGGAACAACCCCTTGGCAGAGCCAAATGCCAATTTAGCTTATTAATTTAAATATTCCTCACCCCCTGAGATCTTACACTCGTAGACTAATGAAATGTGAAGTCCTTCAGTTCCAGCAACAAAAATGGAAACACTGGGATGTTCTCAGTGTTTCTCTCCTAACAAATCCCAGCTGAACCCACAACACAGCACTATTCCAGCTACTAAAAAGAAACCAGCTCTGTCCCAGCCACACACCAGTCAGCCAGGTTCCTGGACACTTTCCTCTGGAGGGCGGCCGCTGGCTACTGGCCCACTGTGCCACTGGCCGCCCACCCCTCACACCAGTGCTCAGGCTGCAGCCGGTGAGGTTTTACAGCCACGTTCCACAATCCTGAGGAAGTGGGTCCTGTCTGCCACGTCTGTAACCGTAGCGGCCCTGGTGGGAATACATCTGCTAAAGGCATTGTATTACGGTGCTGGGAGGCTCCGGAGTCAGTGCAGCCCACGGGCAGGAGGCCCTGCTAAAGACATTACTGCCTGCAGAGGAGGTGCATGGCCCCACCATGCCCTGCCACCTGGCAGAGGTGCTTTACCATAAATCCAGGCATGGAGCATGGTGCTGCTGGTGGCGAGATGGCCCCGAGCTCTGCTAGGGCTTGGACCACCTTGTCCCCACAGCGTGGAGCTGGCCCGACGTGCAGTGAGGGTCAAATGCTGCTGGAGCAGGATGGAGGTGTGTAGGTACTGGGGGCTTGCAGGGAGGTGCTGGAGCTGTGCCATGGGCAGGTGCTGGCCACCAGTGGGGCTGCCTGCAGGTGCAGTGGGCATGGTGTGGCAGAGCCTGCCCTCTTGGCACGTGGTGGGGTTAGGAAGAGGTGGGGTGGGTGAAGAACATCAGTTTGGTGCAACCCCCTGATTTTCTGTGTCCCATCTGCAGTGGGAAGAGGTGAGCGGGTATGACGAGAACATGAACACGATTCGCACCTACCAGGTGTGCAATGTCTTTGAATCCAGCCAAAACAACTGGCTCCGGAGCAAGTACATCCGGAGGCGAGGAGCACATCGCATCCACGTGGAGATGAAATTTTCTGTCCGGGACTGCAGCAGCATCCCTAATGTCCCAGGCTCCTGTAAGGAGACTTTTAACCTCTACTATTTCGAGTCAGACTTTGACTCGGCCACCAAGACTTTTCCTAACTGGATGGAGAATCCTTGGATGAAGGTGGACACGATTGCTGCCGACGAGAGCTTCTCGCAGGTGGACCTAGGTGGACGGGTGATGAAGATTAACACGGAGATGCGCAGTTTTGGGCCTGTCTCCAAGAATGGTTTCTACCTAGCCTTTCAGGACTATGGAGGTTGCATGTCCTTGATTGCTGTCCGTGTCTTCTACCGCAAGTGTCCCCGTGTGATCCAGAACGGGGCCGTCTTCCAAGAAACCCTCTCGGGAGCGGAGAGCACCTCGCTGGTGGCGGCCCGGGGGACGTGCATCACCAATGCGGAGGAGGTGGATGTGCCGATCAAGCTGTATTGCAATGGGGACGGCGAGTGGCTGGTGCCCATCGGCCGCTGCATGTGCCGAGCGGGCTACGAGTCAGTGGAGAATGGGACCGTCTGCAGAGGTAACTACTTGTCTTTGGTCTTGCTCTGCATGCTTGTCTTACCACTGATGGACTGTGCTGGTGGTGGCAGTCAGGATTTGCAACTGGGATCTGCATGAGCCGCCTGGGAGTGACCTTTTTGGGCAGGGGTGGTAGAGCAGCATGTAGGGACATGGGAGAGGAGCATGTGTGTGGACCCTGACTTCTTCCCCAGCTCCTCATTTCCTGCCCTGGGCTCATCCATCCATTGCAGAGGCTCTGCGTTAACTCCAGGTCCTAAGAGACACTGGGTCCAAGGGTGCCAGCTTGTTGCTACTGCCCTCCCTGTTCTCCATGTCTTGGAAGGAGACACATGTGTGTAGCCATGATATGTGCCAGTGATCTGCAGTCAACTTCCTAAAATACTGGGGCTGTTTTCACTTTGATTTGCACCCTGTGCCTTGGCTTGGGCTGAAATGGTTCTGGGGTGAGGGAAATGGGAGTAAAGGCACCCAAAGGTGGTGTGGTGGGAGTGTGCAAGTTGTCTGCAGCATTTTCCTGGTGAGTTGCAAATGGCCGAGGGTGGAACATGGCTATGGGCTGTCCAGGGCCAGGCTCACCTCTTCAGCCTGAGCACCTCTGAACCTGGCCCCTGAGCTCCCTCAGCGGTCAGAAGTTTCCTGCCCTGTAGATGTTCCGCCCCAGTAGATGGTCAAAGTGGACTCAGAGTGCCTGCTTAGCTCAGCTGAGCACTGTGGAGTTAGTGTGGTCCCAGGCAAGTGTGAGGCTCTGCACTACCCTCCCTGAAAGCACCATACCCAAACCCATCTCTGTGCTCCTCCTCAACCACACGTGGGCTTGGGGATTTTGAGAGAGAAGCTGCTGGGGTTACTGGGGGAGAGATGGTGACCTGAGAGCTGCAAGGTCAATGGGCACCTGGGGCTGTACCATGTACAGAGCAAACCACAGCATTTGGCAAACAGGCTTTTCTCCCCCCTGTCCTGACTGAACATCCAAATCCCATTAGAGTTTCAATAGCACTGGCACACTCTGAGCAGAGCTGGGCTTTCTCTGAGATCAGTTATAGATACCTTGATAGGCATTGAAGAGCATATGGAGGGAGCTGTGTCTCCTCTCTTCTTGCTGTGGGAAGGGGTGACCAGGCAGCACTGAGTGGGTGGAAGAGGGGGACAGACAGTCTCAGGCCATGCTTGGGTGGGACTGCAGGTTGGATAGTCCCCTTGGAGAGGGCATCACATCTTCTACTGGTGGCTGGGCTGTTCACATGTCAAGCATCGCGATGTGCTGGGGGTGTTATTTAATATCTGTGCTTTGAGCTGCTCCTCACTGAGCCACTGAATGTCACTTCCCACTGAGCTTGGGGTGATCAAGTGTCCTGCAGCTGCAGCAAGGACGGTGCTGGGGACGGGGACAGGATGGAAGAGCTGCTGCACCGCAGTGTGGACAGGGACCCTGACTAATCCCAGCCTCGCAGGGAAGATGGGTGTTTTACGATGCGCAGGTGAAGCATTCATAGCCACAGCAGAAAACCAAAATGATTCACGTCAGCTTTTCCATCTCAGTTTTGGGTTTTTTTTTTCCCAAGTGGACCCAACCCTGCTCAGCACTTTGCTCTGGTGCCGCTGTGGTTTCTCAGGGGTCCCCGGTTCTGCTGCGAGCCCAGACAAGGGATGGTCCCTTTGCCTGCCCCAGGGCTCCAGGACCTCCTTATGCAGAGCCCTGTCCCTGCAGCTTGGCCCAGCGGAGCCGGGAGGGGAGGCAGAGCAGGCAGGAGCGGGGGGCCAAGGTGGAGGGAGCGAGCAGGAGGGAGAGGCCAGGTCTCCTCTTTGTCTGTGCAGCAGCAGGATTTTGGGAGGTCCATACCTCGGCAGCTGTTTCTCCAGCCGGTGCTGGTGTGGACCTGGCCCCATGCTCCCCACTGTCATTAATCATGTGGTGGCCAGCAGACTGCCGTCTCCATGGGGCAGCTGGCTCTGGGGCTGCCTTCCCCTTCTCCTTTTTTCCCATCCTCTTTCCTTTCCCCTTCCCCTTCCTGTGTGGGGTTGCAGGATCAGGGTTGGATGGGACCCCAAGGCTGTGCCAGACTGGGAAACCCTCCATTTTCCTCTAGTATCCCTCAGAAGAAGAGTGGGGATCAGGAGGAGAGCCAGCTCTGGGGCTGGCAGGACAACCGTGGCATCCCCATCCTCTCCCAGCACCCCCAGTGAGCCCCACAGAGGACTGGGGAAGGGGCTGGTCACCCCAGCTCGGTCAGATAGAGAAGGCTTTCCTCCTCAGCTCAACTTGGGAAGGACCTGCAGGGTTGCCCAGACAGGTACTGGAGGCCCCATCCTTGGAGATATTCAAGGTCAGGTTTGATGGGGCTCTGAGCAACCTGCTCTAGTGAAGATGTCCCTGCTCACTGCAGGGGGGTTGGACTAGGTGACCTTTGAGGGTCCCTTCCAGCCCAATACATTCTATGATTTTATGATTCTGTGCAGCCCTGCATCCCTGTCCACCTCTCGTTGTGTCCTTGGCCCTGGTCCCCGCAGAGGCAGCGTATGAGCTGCCTGGTTTGGGGGACTCACTCCTATATGTGGCTGGCAGGTTTTCTTGTGTTTTCAGTGGTGGAAGGGAATCTGGGCCCCTTTCCAGAAGAAAAAAAAAAAAAAGCAAATCTGAGCTGACTTTTGGGGTGAAGTGCTCTCACACAACTCAGTCGCCCAAACAGGACGTGACAGGGAGCATGGGGGACATGAATTACTAGTTATGCCCCGCCAAGAAGTCCCGGAAAAGAGCATCCCAAGCAATGGATGGCTCCTCGATGCAGCTGCAAGGCGCTGGAAGGAGTTGCTCATTTTCTCTACTGGGCTTTTCCTCTGGCTCGTACAGCGTGAGCCTGCTCACGGCAGTGTACACAAGGGATATTTATGGAGGAAGTTCATGCATCTAACAGCTTAAGCTCTTCTAAGCTTGCAGCCCCAGCACAAAAGGATTTGGGGGCAGTTAACAATTCTGTGTGGTTAAGAGATTTTCATTTTGCTGGGCCTTGCTCGCCAATCCCGCAGGGCCCTGCGAGGGGCTGGCTGCTCGCTCCTCTTTGCTCCTCTGCTCGCTTCCCGGCTCCTTTCCACGGCGCTGGCAAGGGGCTTCATGCACACGCCTCCCCCACAGTCAATACGCCCAGCCCCATCCTCCCCGATTCCTTGCTTCACCTTCTCCTGCTCCCTGCCTGCGTCTTTTTTCTCCATCTCCCTGTTCTTTGTCTGCCGCCTCCCCCCTTCTCCCCCGCTTGTCCCTCCCATGCAGCATATGAAGCTCATTTCTCTCTCTGCCTCCCCTCTTCATTGGCTCCCCTCCTCAACGGCGCAGGCAGAGCTATTGTGCTGCCTGGTCTCTCTGTTTGGTCTGGATGGTAGGTGAACGCTGCCTGCAAGGGTCTCTGCCTGCTCAGGGATGGCAGTTGCTGGCTGCTGGTCCTTGCTATTGAGTCCTGCGTCCATCCCCAGCTCCTCTCCATCTTTGGAGGACATCTGCCCATGTATCCGATCACTGTATTCGCAGCGGGCAGCCTCTTTGCTGCACTGGTACAACACCGAGCGTAGGGAGTCCTGGGCTTGTCGTGGTAGCAAGGGAAGGTTTTGCCCTGCAGAAACTGATGGTGATGCTCTGCTGCTGTCAGAGAAAAGTGGCATCAGCCCTTGGGGTCACAGGTGTTTCTGAGGAGGAGAGGAGCTGGTGATGTGCTGGGAAGAGGAGCAGCCTGGACACTTAGGTGGTCTGTAGAACATCCAGGCTGCCACCTTTTTTCTCCAGCTCAAGGTGGAGCTGGGCCACCCCTGTGGGGAGACTGAGGGGTCAACAGTGTGTCCCACCAGGGGAGGCAGGACAGGAGGCTGCATTGCCTTCCTCCTGATCCTTCCCTGGGGGGCAGATCCAGGAGAGAGGATATGGGGGTCCTGAGCCAGCTCCAGCTCCAGCACCCAGCCTGATGCTGATCCTGTCCAGCCCCACCAACAGCACAGCCTGGTTCCACCACCAACCCAGCTGGATACTCCCAGGTCATCTCCAGCACTGACCTAGTCCAAGTCCAACTCTAAAGGAAGAAGTGTGACTTCCGAGGTTATTGCTGTGTCAGGCTGGTACCTGGGTCTGGGGCTGTATAGGGCTGACTGGTAGGTTTTGGTAGGGCTGTACCCTTGCAGATGTGTGTCCTACAGGTGGGCTCCATGGTGGGCTTCCCTTCCTGTGCTCACTTGTTATTTTGAGGTCCAAAGCAGCAAATGTGCCATCACCACCCATGTGCTGAGAATGTGAGTGCAGAGGCAGTGATGTGCACATCGAGGACCCAAAGCTGTTGAGCCATCACAGAGGTGTGTGAAGCAGTGGAGGTCTGTCCCAGCTGTGCTGTGCTTGGGTTTCAGAGAGGGGCAAGTATGTGCTAAGAGCTTGGAGGGACATGGAGCTTTCTGATGTGCCGGAGAAGGGTATGTCCGAGCTGTCTTAGAGTCACATCCCATGAGTACATAATGTTTTGAAGATAAGGGGCTATTTATGGCTCCGTGCCTGCTTAGGTTCTGGGCCTCCACTGATAGTGCTGGACCCAGCCAATAAATTGTAAGGTCCTAGGGGTAATTAAGTTCTTGCAGGAAGCATTCCTGGTTGAGCTGGAGGAGATACAGTCAATCATGATGTAAATGTTCCCAGAGATGGAGAATTGCCCATTAAACACTTTCAGTGGTCGCTCCTGCCTTCTTACCCCGGGCTGCACCTGGCATTTGGACCTCGGTGAACTTTGTCCATCACCACACCTCTGCTTTCTGTGTTTAAGAGTAATCCTTGGCCCCCGGTCCTCTGGTAAGGGTTTTGGCCAGCATTTTTGGCTCTTCCCAGCCCTTGGCACTGCTTTAGCCTTTCTGTTGGCAGATCCACCGTCCCACGTACAGGATGCTCACAGTCATCAGTTGAGTGCCAGAGGGGATGCTGAGATTTCCCTCTTCCTACGTCCCCCCTTTGCTTTACCCATTTTGGCACTGGTGTTG